AAAGATGATTACGATGACAAGGAAAATGCTGATCATGATAACTGTTAATAACCTGAAGATGACTTCCAAGCATCAACCACTAACTGATCAACTCAGTATTTGAGCTGTAAGTTAAGATATTACGTCATGGAAGTTACAGAAGCTCTACGGTTATAAGATGGTCCAACTAAATGATTATCAAGCTCTACAATGGTGAGAGGGTCCAACTAAAGTTTTTATCAAGTGAAGATACCTAACGGCAATGTAAAAAGAATCATAAAAGTCCTCCCATTTGAGAAAAATCAAAATCGGGGCAGTTTAATTATTGGCATGCCAAAAGAACAAAAAGAAAACAAATGAATGAATAAACAAAAAAATACGTATGAATCACTATACCCATATGACAAGGCTCTCTTCCCCATTGTTGGCTGTCTTACGGATGGGTTGCCGGCCACTAATTAGCTCAAGAAGAACTACCCCAAAACTGAAAACATCTGACTTCAGAGAAGCTCTTCCAATAATTGCATATTCAGGTGCAAAATAGCCAAATGTCCCCTGCATTCTTACAGGAGAACTGGAACTACTGGGTAGGCCATCAGTTGTTAAATGTTTAGCCATACCAAGATCAGTAATCTGCAAAGGTGTAAAGAACCATGAGCAACATGTGTATGTGTGTGTGTGTGTGTGTTTGTGTGTCTGAAACAGAAAACTGATCTTACTTTGCATCTGAAGTACAAAGATTTACTAAGCATAATTAGGCTCAACTCCAGATGCAACCAACCAGCTGAGAATTAGCAAGAGAATTCATAGAACTCTGAATCTATTTTCCTTTATGGCTGAAGTTTGAAGATTTATCAGGCCTTGTCTTGGTTGGGTTCACAATCTACATAGGTTTTTTAACATTATTTTTCTGGTATTTAAGATTTTCAGATAAGTTTTTGTTTTACCTTGGCAGTCCAGTTCTCATCCAAAAGAATGTTTGTAGATTTGACATCTCTATGCAAGATTCTCGGAGCAGCTGCTTCATGGAGATATTCCAGGCCCCTTGCAGCTCCAAGTGCAATTGCAACCCGAGCACCCCAGTCCAGGCATATGCCTGAGGCCCCATTCAGACACTCTCTCAGATTACCTTTGGTCATGTACTGAAATACTAGCAGCCTCTCAACTTGTTTTCCTTGGTACTCTGAGCAGTAGCCAAGCAAAGGTACCACATTACAATGATGGAGTCTTGATATCACTTCAATCTGAGTAAGAAAACAGGTTGTAAGACTCGAGTGTTGCACAATATTTACCAATTTGTCATTGCTATCAAGATGTCCAGAAACAAGATGCAGCTCTTTAGTCAATAACACATTCATTTGTGAGCAACAAATTGATAGTATTAGCAATTAGAGATACTACCTCTGTCAAAAATAGAGATTCTGCATCTGGCCCTCCCTGAGCTTTTATTCTCTTGATTGCCACAGTTCCACCATCTTTAAGATGGCCACAGTAAACGTGGCTGCTTCCCCCAGCTCCTATCAAAGTAGAGTCAGAGAACTTATACGTTGCATTTTCCAAATCAGAATATGAAAACTGTATAATTGTTCCAGGCATTGTTCTTGCTTTGCTTCTGAATGAGAAAGAAGCCTTGTGAATGCACCCTGCAGGGGAAAGAGAAAAAAGAAGAAGAAAATAAGCTTAACAGTGATGCGAAGAACCAGAGCCAGGAATGATCAAATATAATTACAACAATAGGCAATGGCTGTGTACATTCCAAGATTGTGGAATCCATTACACTGAAATGAACAGGCAATACCTAGCTGATAAACTTACTTCTAATACAAGACATCAACAAAAGTTTCAGTTCAACCGCCAAAGAAAACAAAGGTCTAATGCTTGAGATCAATTGAAAAGATGGAGTTTACCTGAGATAGGATTGACTGGGGAACCTAAATAGATTTTGTAGTCCGACACTGAAGAAAATCTATGGCTTATTAGGTTGGTAGAACTGTTGCATCTGGTATCTTTTTCTGGTGAGAATAGAGGCCGTTGAGTAGGACATTTGTCCTTCCGATAGAAATAACATACTACCGAAGCAATGAATGCAAGAGTTGCTAGTATTACACATAGTAGGAGAATGGGCAGAACAACTTTGCTGGAAATACGCTTGTTCGAAGATTGCGACCCACTTGAAGATCCTGAGGAGAAGCAAATGGAATAGCACACAAGTAAGCCTCAGAACTTCTCAACCTCAAATCTGTTAAATGACTTCTCCTAACATTTGATATATAATGCTTGCACATTCGTGTGCACCAGTTGCACGTAAATGCAAATATTGAACAAAGATGGATATGACCAGTGAGTATGGACAAACAAAAAATCTGAGCAATCAAATTGAATTCTGTGATGCAGAGGTGTCTCCTTGTTTTCAGTCAAATGCATAGAGTTTCTGAACCATCATAAAAACAACAGAGGCCCAGATGTAAATACATATATTGAACAAAGATGGTTATGACCAGCGAGCATGGACGAATAAAAAATCTGAGCAATCAAATTGAATTTTGTGATGCAGAGTATATCTCCTTGTTTTCAGTCAAATGCATAGAGTTTATGAACCATCATAAAAACAACAAAGACCCAGTTTGTGTTGAAGCTTATCACACCGAATATAAAGCTTCCAGATAACCAGTCAAACCACTTTCAATATTTTTAGTAAAAGACATCCTTACAGTGAGATCAATTGACCCCACTGAACTCTATGAGCAGCCATCCCTATAAAGAACATGCTGTTTAAGGAACAGTAAAAGACATGCTATTATTCTTAGCATTTTAAACCACAAAATATGAGTCACTTAGAGAACAAAACATTATATATCATTAATAAATAGTAAACTATACTAAAACTGTTGATCAGTACCACTTTGATGAGGCCAGAAGAAATTCATACCTGAATTACAATTGCAGGTCGTGAAACAGTTTGTATCATTACTATCAGCAGCCAATTTAGGGAATCCATCAGCAGCACAAATGCATATCCATTTGTTTCCATTTGATCCTCCTGCAGCTACAATTGAGGCCAATGCAGTTTCAAAAATAAAATTACACCCCTCAGCAATTAGTAAGTTATAGATGCCTACATACACATATATGTATATTGCTGTGGATTTTTACTACTGAAGAATCTTCTGACCTAATATGTGTTCTGCCAACTTTAAATTTCAAGAAATGGAGCAATAATATACTTTACTATTAGTAAATAGAAAACATTACAGAATTTTTGGTCCTCAGGTGTAAGTTCTGTCTATATGCCATACGTATGGAGCTTTAGTGTCATGCATTTTTTGAGTCCATCTGTCATTGTTCAGTAACCAGGTTGCAGCTCAGATTTCATTTAAGGATAAGACTACAATGACTTTTTTGAATCACATTTTAATTTCTTGAGGGTCAAGTTATGATTAAAAAAAAAGTTAGAATCAATCCTAAAATTTTAGGACTGATCTCAAAAAACCCATTTTGATATAACACCGCGGATTGAGTTTTAACCTCACCCCTTAGTTTGTAGCTATTTCGATATGATACCCGAAAAAAAAGAAATTTCGGTACCGTAGCCTTACCCTTCATTTACAAACAGTATCTTTACCTAATTCAATAAAACTTCATAAAGGTGATATGCTTGGCAGTGTGAAGTGTTTAGATGATTATATCATATTAGCTAATAACAATTTTGATAGAAAGGCAGCGTAACTAACGATTAAACAAGTACGATCAGTACTGTACCAAGACTGCAATCACAGGATGAAGAACAATTAGTCGAGATAGCAAAGCTCTGGTTCCCTTGATATGCAGAAGAACAGGTACATGTCCACTTGTTTGTGCTAGATGTATTAAAAGGTTCATCTGCAACGATTAAGCAATCAATCTTCTTTCTACCTATGTAGATTTTTCCACGTTATAGACATGCAGATTTCTTAAGCTTCAGAAACCAATTAATTTTGTTAAGGGGATCTACTGTATCTTCATATTACCAAAAATTCTCCAAGTAGATTCCTCCCTCAGCTAAATTACACTCCACAGGAAGTGGGCCAAAAATATTGCAAAATATGGCAGCAGCAGTGTGGCTTGAACTTGACTGTGATGTGATAAATGAGTACAGGTCAAGATCTTATACATTTGCAAAGAGAGTTGATGCTTACCGCAAAGAATTTCTTGAGTCCAGATTAAGCAAATAATGCATAAAAGGGCAATTCCCAGTTGAAGCTTCATTTATCCCTGTCCAACATTATACTGCAAGTAAATAGGAAGCCTGTCACATGACTCGCATCAATTTCCTAATTTCAGAATATGAAATTTTGTGTGAGTATTAGAAAAACGAACCAAAACCACCTTTAAAATTCAATTGCCAGTAAGTGAGATAGTTCTTTTCTACATTTTCACTATGAGCAGCAAAATATTTGAATACTATAAGCAATTATATCAACATCCTTTGTTCCTGAATAAAGTGGTACTCGAACAGACTTGCTATATCACATTCGTTAGAGAACAATTGAAATAATAGAAAGTGAAACTCCTCCTTAAGTAATACTTTTCTGAAGAAATGCATGCAAGCCTCAATAGCTTAGTTGTTGGGAGTCCATGGAGCCATCTTGATTATCTCTAAGGAGATAGAGGGAGGGGGGCTGAGGGGAGGGAGAGAGAGAGAGAGAGCATAAACCTTCATAAGAAAGAGGATGTCCACTCATGGATGCTCTTCATGATAAATCTTCCAATCTGCACAAAGCTAATAGCAACTTAAAACACAGTTTAACAAATAATAATTCATGGTGACAGAGAAGAAAAGGCTTATATTTACACATGAGGAAAAGAAAATAAAGTTTAAAACATACACATAAATTGACGTTTCCAGTTATATAGAACCTTTTTATTTGTAGCACGCAACAAAATTAGATGCACAACCATAAAGGACTCCACAAATCGGAGAATCAGTAACTGGTTGTCCACATTGTAAATTCATGTGGACCTTAAATTCCAACCACCAAGTTGTGGGTTCAAGGGCTGGTAGAGAGAGACATTTTCAGTGGATGAAATTCACATAAAATAAGCCGATGCCTTCTCTTCCAAAAAGTTAAATGGACTATGACAATGACTAAGTTTTTGGAACACATTAATAGATCATACATTGTCAAAACAAACACAGAAAATTAGACAAACATACATAGGGTAGGTCAGGTAGGAATAGAAAACATATAGTTGGCCAACAAACTTATGTATGATTGAAGTCCACTCAATCTACATTTTGAATTTTTGAATAATATTATCACTTAAATGCTTATCTTACATTCTCTCCATAAGTTTAAACTTTTTAGAGTAATTTAACCTAATATGTTAACATAAAGGTATTAGACATTGCCCACTCAAAAAAAAATAAAAATTGTTCAACTGACAGCCATATTGGATCAAATTGTTCAGTCCTAATAGCATTACTCATTTTTTCCAGTCTTACACAGAAATCTACTTCATTACTTGAAACCCTGTAAAAGCATCAACACAGATTCCCAGAGCTGGTAACTTTGATTTTATGATATGCCCTCTTTCTGAGCCAAGAAAAAGAAGGCATGCTTGAGTGAAACAGAGAAGCAAAAACAGTACCGTTCAAGAACTGGGAAACTACATCAGCAATGAAAATTTGTGTCAAATTTAATTGAATAATACTCGATGGCTATAGTCCTAATCAATTAGCAATAGGCCTTTAATCCAATATTACTCCTTATCATGAAGGATTCAAGTCCGCCCCCCTTTTCCTTCCTAAAAAAAAAAAGAAAAAGAAAAAAAACCTACCCAATTTATCCGCAAATCTTTCAAAGTGAGACAAGGGAGATGACATGAAAGTAAAGCAGTCCCAGGGAGTATAATGGACGTGTTTTCAGAGTTCCACACACCCATCATCAGACATCTGGTAGCAAATAATCCAGACAGAGACATGCGGCTTTTCTGTGTATATTCAAAACGGGAGTGCTAGATTACAATATTATCATCCACCTCTCTGTCTATCTGAAGGCAATCCTTCCGCAAATCCAAAAGAGACCCACCACCAACCACCTAAAGAACTAGCATACCCACAATTGTGAATATGTGATTCTGTTTATTAGTTCAAGCAATTGTAGGCTATTAATTATTTCTTCACTTATATTTATGTGGAAAAAGAAAAAGTATTTTGAATTTTTAAAACGATTTATACACGACGGTTAAGTATTCTTCGCTTAAGAGACATGTTTATTGTGAAGATTGATGACTGTATCTCGACAGCCACCCGCATACAGACTTCGAAAAACGAGGTAGGTGACGTTTGAAGAAGGCTCCAACGTATTTGGTACACCGGCCCCACCCACTGGTGTAGTTTGTTGGGCCTGGACACAAAAGCCCGCGCTGTGAGTTGCAGCGTGGGCCCTGATGGAAAACATAGCCGTAGATTAAGTTAATCCATGGGACAATCAGGACCTTGCATTAACGTGACAGTTAGGGATTTTCATACGAAAAATCTGGCATTACACTTGCTGGAAGAAGCAGTGAAGCACTGGGCTCGTATTATTCTTGAGACTCAGCTCAAAAAAAAACTCTGATCAAACCCCCCATCATCTAGCTTTGACAAATGGGGAGAGGAAAAAAGAAACAGAATGTAAAATTGAGGAAGATGATGAACCAGCGCATAATGTATTTACAAGATCATCCTTTTCATCCAATTAAAGATAACATGCCACGTCACAGGTTGAAAGGACTCCACTTCCGACTCCGAGGAGCAAAATACGGTATTAAAATACTCGGGAGAAATGAAAGCGATAATTAATCGCACAGAAAATCAAAAAATGGGTACCTGTTTAACAAAGTTCACTCGAGAAATCAGGGTTTCAATCTCTGCGACTGTACCTACAGCACTGCAGTATCGTCCATCCCTCTGATTAAATGAACTATTTCAACTTCAAAAGAACAATCCGAAGGCTCATTCAAATCGTAACAGTTCCTAGTCACTTTTGCTTTAAATTGAGCTCAGCCTCAGACAGAAATTAAGAATTTGAGCTCTAGTAGATCTATTAGTGAGCTCGAATCGAAAACAGAGCTAGAAACGAAAGGAAGAGAATGAAACTGAGCTAAATCATATCAGCGAAGAAAAGCTTTAGAGGAATTTCTAAGGAAATGGAAGTTATAGGTAGCAAAATTTGTCACAAACACCACGGAGTGAGAGCGAAAAGTGACTGTGTGTGTTGACTGTTAAGTCTGACTAGAAATTGTGAAAGCGAGCTCCGATCGATGATAGACATTCATGATCATATTCACCATCCTCAGCCACACTCCACAGGAGAGAGAGTGAGGGAGTTTTTTTTTTTCGTTAAGAGAGAGAGAGTTGTTATGCACAGATGTTGATGCTTCTTTCACAATCCACGGTGTAATGTGGGTCCCAATATTGTCCTTACTTTTATCCTTTCTTTTCTTTTTATTGAGTTCAGTAGTCAAAGAAAGATTACACTGCGTGGCATTCTCCTGCACAAACACACAACAAAACGAAACTGTCATGCTCGGCTCCGGGTAGGTAACACCGGGTAAGCCTGTTACCTACAACCAGAGCCGTCTGATCAGATTTGAATTTATTTTCGATTGAGCCGAATTTAAATTTGTTTAAAATACTTGGGTTTAATTCTCAATTTATAAAAACACAGTAATGGTCAAAATTAATCTAATTTTCATCTACTTTGATCAAATGATAAAAAATTCATCAAAAAAAAAATTTCCTACTCATAGATCTTTTTTTTTTTGTACGGTCCCCATTGTCAAACTACTCGACAAATACACTTCTCAATATCCAGTAACACCACTAAAAATTAAAAGGGATACCTTAAGTGGTAACAGAGACGAGTTGTAAATTAAAACTTCTTAAGTTAAAATCTTAGTAACCTCTTGGCGCTAGAGAATGAGGGATTTATTCTTATAAATATCCTAGTCCTGTCGTAGATAACCTGCTTTTGATCAGACTGAAGAGAAAATTAATCGAAGTATACGCAAGTTGATCTGGACATCCTTAATTATTAAACCCCGAAAAAAAAAAACCACCATCACTAAAGCACAACACGAGCATTGTTCAATTTTTAATATTGCAAAACGTCTTTAGACACAAAATTGTTGTTAGTTACTCGATGTATTTTATTTTCACTGTTTGTGTTTGAGTATATTAAAGTTTTAAAAAATTTAATCTCATTGGAAAAATTAAATCAAACTTAACCGTAACAAATTGGATTTAATTTTTAAACTCAACTTTATCAAATAATGATTTAATATATATATATATATATATATATATATATATATATATATATATATATATATATATATATATATATACTAGCGATATTTTGTGACTACAGTTACTGTACACTGAATTACTATATTATGCATGCATTAGAATGTGTGTTGGAGTGTGTGTGTGTGTATGTGCAACTGTGCATTGTGAAGTGTGTGTTGAGTTTTTAAAATTTGGGGAAAAAGTGTGTGTTGGATGTGTTAAATTTTGGGAAAAAAATATACCCTCCATAAATTCAAACACTTATTTGATCTATATATATATATATACTAGTTATTGCCTGTACCTGAAGACACAGAGTAGTAAAAAATGGTAAACAATAAACACATTTATATTCATATTCAAAATCAAGTCACAAATATAGAGAAGAGATAAATGAATTTAAATATTGGTTTGTAGCGAGGGTGAGAGGTGGTGGTCGGCAATGGTGGTGGTAGTAAACAATGACAGTTGTGGTGGGTGACAATAACCGTGGTGGTGGGGACAACGATGGTGGTGGTGGTGGCAGCAGCAACGATGGTGATAGTGGTGGCGGTAGCAATGGGGGTGGTGACAGTGGTAGTGGCGATAGTGGTGGGGGTGGCGGTGATGGTGACGGTGGCGGTGGGGATGGTGGTGGCGACGGTGGTGATGGTGGTGGAGGCGGCGACGATGGAGATGGTGGCGATAGTGGTAGTGGTGGCGATGGCGGGGACAGTGGCCGTGGTGGTGGTGGTGACGACGGCGACGGTGGTGGTGCAAGCAACTGCGGTGGTAGCGGCGGTGACGGTGGTGGTGGTGGAACAATTTCAAACACTATTTTTTTTAAGTATTTATAAGAAATAATTTTTAAAAAGTTATTTCAAATATACCCTTAGGGGTCTATTTTTTCTATTAAATTTAGGGTGTTAATATTAGTTGTTATATTAACTTTAAA